TTCGGTAACACCTTGCGGTGCTAATTCCACGGTGCCCCTTGCTTGCACGCGTCCTTCGCTCTTTCCTGGCCTTTCGTTGCCCAGTTGAACGAAGTTGAGGACGAAGCGAGAATTCGGTGTAGATATTTGTGTCACGGGACTACCGATTTTCAGCTCTCGGACGTGACGTTGATAATGAAAGGAAAAGGAGATTCGTGGTTTCTAGGATGAATGAAATTTCATTTCATCGTTGATATTTTAAACGATGTAGAAAACGCGTCGAAAAATCGGGGAGCGCTATAGGGATGCAACAACCATTTTCTGGCCATATTTATATATCCTCGAATATTTGTGCGTCGATTCCATGGACAAGTAGCGATTTAACTCTTTAATTACAGTCGTGTGGGTTGGACTGGGCATTCCGATTCGTTCGAGCCTTGGTAATTTTAATATGGAAACGTGTCAACGCAGATACGTTGCTGATTAGGAAAGTATGAAAATGGAATCGGCAGGACACTTTTAACGCACCGGCTACTGATATATGGCAGCTTTCAGAGTCTTCGACTAGGTGGATTTTCCTATCCACTTTTCAACGCGCTAATCTACCTGACCTTTTCAATAAAATCACGTAGAATGATAAATATTTTTTACCGTACCATTTTCTCGCATAGTATATGCACTTCCATATCCCATATTAGTTAACCCTTTCGCCACGGCATTGACCTAACAGCCATTGTGACGCAGGACTATGCATTACGCGGCCGAACAATGGAGCTACGATAACACGTGGAAGAGAAATAAATCTAACACGTGTCGATAAAATATAGTGATCCCATAAACGTTCACTGAACGCGTAATTTAGGTGATGACGAAAGTCCACGCTGATATCCAGATGGTTTCGTTTTCGAATAGGGGTTAAGATTCGTTTAATTCCTTCCTCTGCTGACGACATAAACATTTTTCTTATCGGACCTACGTTCATCTCAGTTGGACGTTACTCACTGGCTATCTGTGCTGCACTTAGATCCATCTGCAACAGCGTAGATCGCGATTTTCACGGAGTTGCACAATTTTCCAAGCGACATACTGTTAGGAGATCGGACAAAGACGCGTTGACGATAATTTCGTGAGAGATTCGCGTGAGAAAGAGGATAGATTTTCCCGGGGATTAACTCTCAATTAACCGTGCTGTACTTTGTTGCCGAGAGACAAGTTGCACGAGGACTTAATGAACGTACCGCGCACTATGATTATCTAGACGTCGGCACGTGATCATAGTGCTCCGAGTTCCCAATGACGTTCGGCAAACAAGTGCAACTTAATAGACTACCGAATCCACCGTATTAGTACGCCAATATTGACACATCCTAAATCCCCGTGCTATAAACGAGATATCGTTAACGCTGAACGTACCGGTACTTTACTTTAAGGTATACAAAGAATTTAAAAAAAAAAAGTTGAGAGAAAAACGGAAAGTGTTTAAAGAAATTAAATAATCAGATAACATAAGGATTTGCAGGAAGTCAGATGAGCGAAAGAAATAACGATAAATGTATAATTATAAAGTAAATTTCGAAAAGGGTCGTTTGATCCTGATTAGTACGTTTAGTGTTAAAATTAGTACCCAGAGAAACTACTGTATACTTCATACAAGAATCCTATTCGTTAAATCAAACGATAATCTTTTCCGAGATCTTTCGGGATTTTTAACTTTGTCTAAACTGACATCAGAGTATCGAGCAAAGAATTATTTAAATTGCAAATATTTTATTCATCCCTCGTTATTTTTATACTAAATGATCGTTTGCGATTCTTCTTACAGAAGGCAATCTTATCCTAGTCTGTTTCATCGATAGTGAAATTTCGTGGCATAAACGAAAGATTAGCCCTTTGCACTCGAGAGGCCATTTAATCAAGTTCCAAAGATCGATTTTAATTGATATATATTGGAATGCTAACGCTATTAATCGAGATATCTCACATCAATATGTTTATACTAAACTGTTTTTGTGCTTATTACTCACACATGTAAGATTGTGTACGTGTCGGTCGCTAGCTAAATTCTATTGTTATTACGATCTTGTCTCTAGTCTCTAAGTGCGAGTCACGTAATATTAAACCGTTCCTTTTTTGTATAATTTGTATCAAATTTAAAATAACGCAACGTATGTTTTTAATATGTGGAACATCGAAATGAAATAATTCTACGCGTAAATTTGTATATTTCTTATTTACTGTTTCAAAAATATCGTCGACTTTATAGCAGAAAGTCTTCGAATTCCGAGTGCAAAGGGTTAAAGGAACTAGTCTCGACGTTCAACATCTCGGACCACGAACGCCGGCATCCCTTATCAAGACCGTTGCACCCTTCCTCATCGATACCACGCCTATTCCACTCCGACTCGACGTAATTCACGTCCTCGAACTCGGTCTACCCTCGTGCACACGGAAAGAGAATAAAAGCGTGCAGGTATAAGCCTCGGAAGAGGGACGCGTTTACGAGGTTGGCTGGTCCGGGCACTCCCTTAAATAAGTTATTTCGCCGGCTCTAATTCCGCTCCTATGATGACGCCTTTCGATCCACAGTCCATTCCACGCGTTTTATGATTACGACGCGTTCGAAACGGAGGAATCGTTAAAATTCCCTGAAATGGTCCACGAGACGGAACACGCTTTCGATCTCGCCGAGGCGCCGAGGCTGTTCGTCTTCGGCTCGGATCGAACGTGTCGCGGGCTCCCAAGCGCTCGTGTACGAGCGTGTAAATATTAGGGGAATATAGCTCGTGGCAGTCGGCGAACCGTTACGAGCCGATGATTCCAGAGATACGAGCTTTACGACGATGCTCGATCATTGTTCCACGGGCGAAATTAAGTCCGGAACCGCCGACGCCGACGCCGGATATGACAGCGCCTTTATTCCGGCACGCGTGAGGTAAACCGAGCGGAGCGATGATCTAATCGCCGGAACGGGACCAATCGGATCTGCACCTTTTCGTTTAGCCTTTGAATAATATTCGCCATTTTGCCAAGAATTTGCAGAATTTGCCTTGGAACAATTTTTTCCCTCTTTTTTCCTCTTTCTTTTTTGAACGGCTGAAATATTTGTAAAAAAGGTGTTTGACGTTGAACTGTTTCAATTATATCGAGTGTTATATAGTACAGGGATATTTCAAATGAGTAGATAAATAGACAAATAAATTTTTTGAATTAGGAAGTCTATGGAAGATGTCTGAATAATATCTCTGCTATTTTATTTGTCTTTATTAAAAAATTTTTTAAACAATTTTTTTAAAGTGTTTACTCTCAGGCAAGAATATTTAAATGCCGCTTTATAGTAAATAAAAGAAAATTGTTACAGAGAAGATTCTGTTAAGAGTAATATTTTTTGTCGAATTGAATATGACAAACACAGTTCGAGCTGATTATGTTTTGTAGCTGAAAGGGATCTATCTCGCATTTGAAAATAGATATTCAACAGGGACAAACATTATACAGAGGCATTGTAATGCAAATTTTATAAGCTTCGTGCGTAGTTAACACTGTTGGAAGCTCCCAGGTGCGAACTATGTTTTTTCTCGAACACTATGTCGATGCTCGGAATTGCCACTAACCTTGTCAAACATCCCAGAGCGTATTATTAAACCTGCTAATTGTAACCACACTTTAAAAAGTTCCTCAATAATCATTCATGTAATAATTCTCCAAAAAATAATTTACTATCTTTAAATATGTCAATTTAAAATTAACATCTTCATTGACACATTTAACCCTTCGCCCTCGAGAGGTACCCTTCAGTCGCCATTTGATAAAATTTCGAAGCTCGATATTAATTAATATACCAAATTTAAAATAACGTAACAATGTGCGAGGCATCGAAATTAAATAATTCCACGCGTTAATTATTATACGATTTCTTATTTACTGCTCAAAAAATATCATCAGTCTTACAGCAGAACATTTTTCAACTCGTGCCCTTCTTTAGCCAAAAAATCGTCGAGCGCAAAGGGTTAAAATTCTCGGAAAAATCGAAAAAGAAGTAATATCTTCGAACCAACCCTAACCACGCGTAAGTACAAAATTGTAAATCCAGCATCCCCGTTTCTCCCCAACCCCCAATCCACTCGGATCGTTCACAAAGGGATCTCGCGATTCCATAAAAATCTGCACCCGTAAAAAACGGGGAAAAAGGAGAGAAAAATAAAGACTGGCCAGCTTTTGTAACTGTTTGAATATCGCGTATCACACGAATCCCACCCTTGTTTCTCTATTATGCCCGTCTTTTCACACAATTTCGACGTTACTCCTCCCCTTCGTCCCTCTTTCTCGCACGCTGCCTGCGTTCCTTCCAGCGGCCAACATTCCTCCGGCTATTCTCCGCGTTTCTATTAGCGGTTTGTATTTCGAGCAGATGTTTCGCCGGCACAATGGCCGCTACACGGGTTAGCCAGTTCCAGCCTCGTAACGGCATTGTTGCGCCCGAGATATAAAGGATCGGGCCCACGACCCCCGAGGCTCCTCGACACCCCGAAGAAAACGTGTTTATACACGGCGTTTGGAACGGATCACCCCGTGGCCCACGGCATCGATCCCCTTCCGAGGTGAAAAGGACCACGGGCCGAGCTTAATCCGACCCGGTAATCGGACCTCACTCCCGAATCTTTAATTGGGCAAAAGTGGATGCAGCAGGGAGCCTTTCTCCTACCCTTTAATCGTATTCCCTGAGGCACGAAAATTGGAGAAAGTCGTTTCAATTTTCAAACTCTTTTATCCCATCAAATAATTTCGGAGTTCCACGAACGCTATCAAATCTACCACAATTATTTTACTTCTTCAATAAAACACGGGTTGGCAGAGTTAATAAAATATATTTCAAAACGTAAATTTTCTGGGAAAATTCGTTTCACAGGGAATAGCGTTAATTCCATTTCCAGCGAGTTTTTCGTTTCGAAAAATCAAGGAATAAAAATCGAATGTACGAAAATTAAAAATTTTTACTAATTTTCGTCTTTTATTTTTTCCAGGTACACCATAGCAACTGTTTCCGTCGAGGAAGGTCCGCGAAATCATCGCTGGAAGCCACGGAGGAACGGGAATTTCGCGGGCGACCCAACCCGGAAACGCGGCCGTTGCAGATGGTATCGCGGCACATCCGGTCGCGGTTGCGCGACTGTGACTTCCATCGATGTGTCGGCGCAGAAGCAGCATCGGGGAAAGGAGAGAAAGAGGAACACGGAGGGTGAAAGAGAGCCTGACCGCACCGTTAGTCATTGGCTGCTAACACGGCAAAACCAACTCCTTTCCAGCGTGGGTCGTACGAGTATTTAATAGGAAGCAATGAGCAACAGGTCCAACCGAGACTCGCTTGGGTTACGCCCATTCGAACGTGTTCCCGGTCTTGGGACCGCAATTTTCTCTTTATCGGCGTGGCTTTTCTCCCTTCTACGAACTAAGCCGAGGAAACGGAAGCCGAGCTTTTGATCCGCCACCGGAAGCTGCCGCGAGATGCTTCTTAGTCAGCGTGCGACGTACTCTTGCATCGGGAGCTTATCAGAAAATATTTTGGGTAAGTGCATATACTCTATTACCTTTCTTGCTTTTCGTGATAAAATATAAATTAGAATCCTTTCTCAGGAAATAATTCTTCTTTACTGCGTCGTTGATTGTACTAGATACCACGAATTTTAAATTTAAATTATTTTTAAATTCCACGCGAGTGAATAATATTGTAGATCAAATCTCTAGCGTGATTATGATGGCGTCATATGATTACTACGCGTCCAGTAATTTGATGATGACGTAATGGCCATTGTGGATCGATATTTATTGTCAGGGACTCTGTTATTCGAGAAAATGGAGGAATCGCGGTTATCTATTTTTATATTCTTATAGACATGTCAAGCTCATGTATCACATTAATTTAATGAAGACATTCTGATCCGAATAGCCGATAGGTAGTGTATAGCGAGGTTTATATAAGTACTTCCTCGCGAGAAAGATATGCAAAGTACATAATCACGATGATCATATTTATCGATCCACGATGGGCCAGTTTAATGTTACTCGAAATTGGATATCGCTTAATTTTTTCCCCCATTTTATTAAGCGCAACGTCGAAGACAATAATGGAATAATACACTGTGAGCCTCTCTGTCAGCCTCTTAACGTGTAATCTGTTTTAGAGGAACGTTCTGCTATATCCATGACCAGTCCGTATAATTAGGAGTATCGTATCCTATAATCTTATTTATTCTTCAGCAGCGAGATACGCAGGTGCCATTGGAAATTAGTGCCACTTATAACCAGGACAATGGAACGGCGGTCCCTACAATTTATTTAAGTGCCATTTCCCCGGGAAAACACTCGGCTCGCAGGTAATCCAGGCCTGGGAGTTCTATTCTGTTATCTGTCAGCAGTTGTAAATGGGCTTCCCTGAAATTAAAGGCTGTCCATCAGACTTCTTCGCATTAACCAAATCGTTCGAAGAACGAGCAACTTTAATTTTCGAAAGTTCCTGCGGAGGAATCAAGGGAAACCTTCGTTTCCAAATACGTATCGGAATTATAATTGCGTTCGCCTCGAACGAGTAGCTATATTATCCTCGATTTTTATTTTATTTCGTATCGTTACATTCCTCTTCGCGCTCAAAACGACAGATGATTTCCCGTTTCCTTTTTTATATTATTATAATAATAATTCTCCAAAAAATTGATGTTCTTCGTTCATCTAGGGTTCACGTCGCGTCGCATTCGTTTTCCTAGTTTCCACTCGCGAACTACAGTGGGGGTGTAGCTATTTCTGAAGGCCCAATAGCGCGAACCTATATCTCATTATGAGCTTAGTCTTATAGTTTTTCCAAATTTATAATTCCTTCGTGATTATAAGAAATGGTAATTTATATTCCCACTAATCAACCCTAAACTGTATTCTACTTCTCGATATCAATTTAGGCCCCAAATTTTCATCTTCACCTGACGAATTAATTCCAATGAATTCTAATTAATTCCAATTAATTCCAAACCTTCCATTAGCAAAAATATCGCGTTCAAACTGATTTCGAATAATTCTACAAGAAACTGGAGTCGTTCCTGGTCCATCAAAGGACCATGTCGCATCGCGTTCCTTTTCCTAGCTTCCACTTTCGAGCTGCAGTGGGGTATAGCGATTCCTGCAGGGGCCCAATAACGCGAACCCATACCTCACTATGAGTTTAGTTTCATAGTTCTTTTAAATTTATAATTCCTTCGCGATTATGAAAATGGAAATTTATATTTCCACTAATCAACCCCAAATTATATTCTACGTCTCGATATCAATTTAGGCCCTAAATTTTCATCTTCGCCTGACGAATTAATTCCAATTAATTCCAAACCTTCCATTAGCAAAAATATCGCGTTCAAACTAATTTCGAATAATTCTACAAGAAACTGGAGTCGTTCCTGGTCCATCAAAGGACCACGTCGCATCGCGTTCCAGAATAATTCTACAAGAAACTGGAGTCGTTCCTGGTCCATCAAAGGACCATGTCGCATCGCGTTCCTTTTCCTAGCTTCCACTTTCGAGCTGCAGTGGGGTATAGCGATTCCTG